AGCCTAGTGAGCCGCAGCACCGGCCCAGGTTACTCTTTCAATTAAATAAACATTAAAATTACCAGGGTGAGCATTAACACACACAGCAGCACTGTGGTAGACACCATAATCTAAGTGGCTCCCAGGGAGACAATGTGACTTCCATGCAGTCTAACAGAGGCACGGCACTCTACGCACAGGCCCACTCCTGGACAGCGCACTGTGACGGTATCTACAACCGCCTGCTGTAAGCCTGTCTCCAGAGTGGGGCTGAAGGACTTCTCGACCGCTTTACTACAAGTAGACTGACAGAAGCAGAGATCACTTTTTTAAAAATAGAAACCGAGCACCAATAAAGATTTAGGACAGACAGTAGTTATGGGGTCAAGGCCTCTATACAACCCATTTTGGGGACGGTTAAATGAGCACCAGGACACCAGACTAAAAAATAAGCTGGTCTTGGCTTCCGGCTCCTCTGAAGGGGCGCAAGGCAAGAGGCCTTCCCAGGGTGGGACAATGCCAGGTGACAAGGGCTAGCATATGACTTCACGCACTTGTCAGCCTCAATAGCTGCCTGTTTCTGGAACCTTATCAGGCCTAAAAAACATACTTCATTCCTCAGCTACAAGGACGGCCCCCAATCAACAGGGCTTTCAAGAGGGAAATGGAGGAGCGATCCCACTTAGATGAATTTTGCCAGGATGGGGGTGGGTGTGCTACTCCATACACAGCCACGGGTTTTCCTTCTTTATGTTCTCACCTACCAATCCAGCTCCACTGTGAAAACGTCCACCTACACGAACTATGGTAGCAGTAGCTTAGGCAGCCTCAGCTGACAACTCCTTTTTAAAATCTGAAAATAAATGCCCCTGAGACACACAGGTCATTCCACAAACTCTGAAAATGCAGTTCCTGGGATTCCTGACTTGGGCCAACACTCCCAAGGCCCACTGTGCAGGCCTTCCTCACCACAGCTCCCGAGAGGCCTGCCACATACACGTACGTACGTACACACACACACACACACACACACAGTCACCGCCTCTTTACCTAAGCAACAGGGGCTCTTGCCCATCCTTCTAACATCATTAATATTTGCAGCAAAGCCAAGAGAACCCTACTGTTTCCTGAAAAGGTTTGGTGGTCACAGTGCTTGAACCACAGAATCTTCCCTGCCCTTCTAAACTGTGTTGAGACAACTTGATGAAATAACCCATGTGAGAAGCCTAGCACATCAGAAACACTCAGCGACAAGCAATTCTTTCTGCTATTTCAAGCTCTGAACGCTCACTGTTGCCCACTCTCCTACTCATTTGAATTCAACGCAAGCCACAAATCACTTTATCTGCAATCCTTAAACATAACGATGGCCATCATCAGCAGACAAGTCAAAGTGATTACAAATCTTGGCTGCTGATGAGTAGGATCACTGTTCCTAGGAACCACGGTGAAGCTGGAAAAGCCCAAACACAAACACAGTAACCACTAAGATTCTATTTTAAAGAAATTCAAAGCAAAGGCTAAATTTAAGGGCAAAACCACACCAGGTCTCACACTCCCTCACCCCTTCAGGTGCTAACACAGACATCACACTGCCACTCCCAAAATCCCGATTCACAGTTCAACTACCTATACCTCCCCGTCCTTCTTCTGTACACGCACTTCTGGTGTGGTGATGGAGAAGCAGTTTAAGACATGCCTGACACCCCTGAGGAGGCCTACAAAACCTCACTACTCCTCGCCTTACCCCGCAGGTTCCACAGCCCATGGAGTTCTTCAACTACTACAAAAAGCTGAATCCAATGAGTGGTCTCCTTGCACAGCAGGGTAAGCCTTGAGGCAGAGGTCTTCAACAGACTCGGGCATTTCCACAAGCCTGAGTTAGACTTTTCACTTTAGTCTTCTAGTATTCTACAAAGCAAGGAGCACTGTTAGCTCCCTTCACTCCAAGTAAATGACATGTGGTAGAATCCATTAAAGTCAGGTGATCAAGGAGATTGTACACCAAAGGTTGAGGTCATTTCAAGGGAGTTTCCCAAGAGCTTAAGTGGAAAATTAAGCCACAGACAGATGGCTACATTAGTATCATCATAGGCAAGAACTACTTCTCAAGCCTGCAGAGAATACAAACCACTTGCAATCCAACTTCAGCCATGAGGATTAGTTGTTAACAAAAAACAAAATGTGGCCTTTTTCTAGCACTCAATCATTAATTGTAACTATTGTCTTTCTTATCTCTTGGGAGAGCATTCTAGTCCAGGCTTGACAGGTGACACAAATCAAACTACTGCTGTCTACGTGACTGTTACCTGACCCTGGTCTATCCAACTTTCAAATCCAAACCTCAACACTTTCCTTCCCTTGAATTTCTAAGGCAGCTGATAAAGGTTAATCTATCTACCCGGCAGCAGCCTGCAAGCCCGCAATGCTATTTTGGCAATGTTTCATTCTTGCCTTAACAACACCATATCTGTAACGGATTTTAAAAGTTCTTGGAAACCATGTATCATGAAGTAACTAAGCATAGATTTCAAACCATTTTGGACCCAAAACCTTATCTTTTAATTCCATTTCCACACAAACTTTTTGAAGTATTATCATATATAATAAAAAGCAGAAATAAAATATACTCACAATCTTAACACATAAAGCTAAAATTTGTAATTTAAACAAATTAGGAGCATCATTAGCCATGCTCAAAAACAGTTTATAAAGGCTAGCAATGTCAAATTAAAATGAGAAAGATCAAGCCTTTAATGAAAGGTAACTTTAGCACACAGAAAGACAATTCATCTTAAAGCAAACAAGTCTGATACTCAACCCATTTCTGGAACACAAAGTCAGGAATATTTACTATATAGCACAGGTATAAAAACCACTATTGTAACAAACTCACATGGTACATTTTCATGTTTTACCAAAACCCACACTATCACCCATTACCACAGAGGCGCAACAGCTGCAATTTACAATCACTTGGGAAATCTTTAAACTCCCTGTGTCTAGGGCCCTCCTCTGAACAATGTAAATCATAATCTCCACTACTAAGCTACATATTTACAAAGCAACCAAATGCCGAAATACTATAAATCCATGAAAAACACCTACTACAACCAACAAATATTTAACAGAGCAGCCAAGAAAAAGGTAGAAAAAATCATATTTGCCTAAAATATACAACCCAAAAATTAAGCACATCATTTTACAAACTCATTTTCAGGTCTGAAGCAAGCTTCTCCAGGCTTGCCCAACCTTTGTTCCCAGAATAAAAAGAACTCATCAAGTTTACTGGGAAAATCCTATTCTAATCTGTTCCTAATTGAGAAATCAATACTATGGCCACCCAACTTGGTTATTCTTATCAAACCAGAATTAGATTTTCAGAGGAAATTACTTACCAACACATTTTTCTTAGGAAATGAGAAGGACCCTCTTTTCTAGTTTAGACAAAGCCCAGTCATTCTCTACAAATGGACAATTATGTTAAACTTCAGTAATCATTCCAAAAACATAAACCTCTGTTCTGTTAACTACAAACCAATTTCATGAGGCCTCCACCTGCAGTGCTCCCATACAGGCACTGGTTCGAGTCCTAGATGGTGCAGTTCTGATCCAACTCTGTTAATGGCCTGGGAAAACAGGAGAAAATGGCTCAAGTTGTTGGGCCTCTGCACCCACGTGGGAGACCTGGAAGAAGCTCTTGCTTTCTGGCTTCGGATCAGCCCAGTTCTGGCTGTTTCAGCCATTTGGGGAGTGAACCAGAGGATAGGAGACCTCTCTTTGTCTCTCCCTCCCTCCTTCCCTCTCTCTCTGTAACTCTACCTCTCAAATAAATAAAGTAAATATTACAAAAAGAAAAAAGAAAGAAAAGTTATTTTAGTGAATTTGTGTCTGGCTAACTGTATCACAAGTCAATTCTAAGACAGGCATTCCTAAGTCAATTTTGTTATCACAGGACCTAAAAGGCAGTTGAATGGTGTCAAGATAACTTGAGTATTGAACTAAAACTACTAAACATAAACAAGTCATTTGCTCAAAAAAAAAAAAGAACAGAAATGAGAAAAAAAAATAAAATTATCTCTTACGAAAGCAGGAAACAATGAAATGAAATGGAGACATGCAAGAAAAAAATTGAGGGCTTTCTCCTTTGGACAACAAACTCTGTAAGCCACCAAAAAATAATATCAATTAGGTCAGAGAAAAGTGGAGCATTCAGGAAACTCACCCACCAAGAAGTGCGTGTTTCCCCCAAGCAGCCTAGAAAAGAAAAACACTGACTTCTCTCTGTTGGGCCAAATTCCACACAGAATAGAAATGAAGGACATTTTTATTTGCTACATTCACACGAGTAATGATAAAGTGTTCAGAAGTTTAACTTGGTTAAAAATATCAAATCTTAATTTAACTTTTAATCCTACTCAAAGGATAAAAGTGGATGAACCCATCCAATGCCGAGTGCTATCACTTCAAGTGCCACTCTCCAGGTGAACGTGCACTGACACTGAACCATGACCCAACGAACACTAAACCATGACCCAACAATAATTTTCTATGCGGTTTCACTAATACCATTTAAAAGAACTTAACAAGTTAGTACGTTAATAGCTTTCTGAGACAAATTTAAGATCAAGAAAGTCCACAAATAATGTACAAATATTTGTTAAAAACGAACCAATCTGCCAACCATTTTCAAGAGTTCATATAATACATACAGCAAAATATTTATAACCAGAAACCGCAGTGCAGATACACCCTTAATTTGTTAAGTTTTACTCCAAAATGAAATCAACTTGCATGATTTCGTCTTACTAAAGCAGTGCACATTTTCTTTCATACAGACCAGTTAACATACAGGAGGAACCCACAAAGAGCCCATCAGTGATCTGACAAACTGTATTACACGGAACACAAATAAAGCCGGAAGTTAATCTGAAGAATATGAAGGCGTTATCAGAGATTATGCAGTGGCCTTGATTTTTATTTTTCTTTACCTAGAATTCTACAAATTTATCAATTATCTTTTTTAATAAACAGCACCAATCTTGCCCATTGATACAATTAAAATCTGACTTTCTCAGTTCTTAGTTCACAAGTTTATTATGAAAAACACTGCAGTGCCCTTGTGCAGTAACATCATCTTACAAGACGGGAGGGAGGGACAGTTCTGTTCAAAACAACTCACCAGGTTCTGACAATAACAAAGAACAACACAGGGGTGAGATCTGAGAAAGGAATAAACCGAGTGCAGACAAATCATACAATTAAATTAAATGGTATCCCTGAAAAGAAACAAAACGATTTCAAAACTCACAAGTAGAGGGAGGCCTTGGTACTTATTTTTAAAAATGTTCATTAAGCTCCAATGATTGTTTGCTGCTATCCTTATCTACAGTCATGCTGAGTAAAGCTATAGCTAAATGGAAGTTATTGTATTCACGAGGCGTTAATGTTTACATCTTATTATCTGCAGTCTCTCAGAGAAAGCAAAAGTAACTACAAATAGCGCTATGCCAGAAACTGGTTTCTTGACCAACAATGTCGCTTCAGCATGCAATGAACTGGTTCATTCTAAAGTGGTCACGGCTGTTGATGACAAGAGGCTTTGTATTTTTATATGGCACATCTTTTGGTCCGTGTGAAAACAAGTTTTTTGAAGGTTAACTATTTTTCTGACACTCTGGAGTTACTGTTGCTCTTCCCATTTCCATCAGGTGACATATGGTTCATGGCAATACTGTACAAGTTTAAAATTTCATTACAGGAAGTAGTCTGGGGTACGACGAGTAACATGTGGCTCGCCTCTACGAGGAGCTGGGTCAAACTGCAAGCTGAAAAACAAGAGATTCCTTGTTTACATTCTGACAGCCATGCACTAGCAATCCAAATCACTGGCATTCATTTTTAAACATTACATTTTTTTCCTATTCCATTCTAGGTCAGTCTCATGTAACAGGAGCTTACCTATACCTAAATCATGCAGTCAAAAGAGCTTCTAACTGCACTTTCCTGCAAAGAGCCCGGGCAACTTCAGCCACAAAAATGATGCTTTTACAAACTATGGTTCCTGGGGCTGGAGCTGTGGCGCAGAGGGTTAACGCCCTGGACTGAAGCACCGGCATCCCCCCTGGGATGAAAAGTCTGGGCTGCTCTACTTCCAATCCAGCTCTTTGCTATGGCCTGGGATAGCAGTAGAGTATGGCACAAGTCTTTGGGCCCCTGCACCCTTGTGGGGACCCGGAAGAACCTCCTGACTCCTGGCTTTGGATCAGCACAGCTCCATCCATTGCAGCCAATTGGAGAGTGAACTAGCAGCTCAAAGACCTTTCTCTCTCCCTCTCTCTGCCTCTCCTCTCTCTGTGTAACTCCGACTTGCAAATAAGTAAATATTTTTAAAAAATTTATAATTTTCCTAAGAACAATATTCCTTAAGAGTGGGTTTCTGCTTAAAAAAAAAAAACAAAAAACAAAAAAAAAACTAGGGTTCCTGCTAAGATGGTTTGAGAGACTGCCAACTAAATAAACTTTAATGCAACTAAAGAACTGTATCTTAAAAGTTAAAACTCTAATAATTCATATTATGATCTGTGTACAATATATTAGTTTCTACTGTACTGTTTCAATATATTATAAGTCCCAAGAAGAAGTTAAAATTTAACATGATTGTACAAACCCTTAAATGTCCCAGTAAAACCAAATATTCAGTAATGGCGATGAAACACTCTGCGTGAACACTTACAAAGAGTATTTTAGAGTGTCATCAAGTTCCATGATTGCAGCTTGGTTACCACAGCGGTAACAATAGTTTGGAGCACTGAAAATTGTTACTACATTTCGGTCATGGCACCAGTTATATCCCTAAATGGAAAAGAAATTAAAATCAACTTTAATCCTTTATACAACTAAATGTGACTCAGAACAGAAAAAGACGTCTCTACTTCCACACAAGTCTTAAGGGGCTGGCACCGTGGCATAGTGGGTAAAGCTGCTGCCTGAGATGCAAGCATCCCATGTGGGCACTGGTTTGAGTCCCAGCTGCTCCATTTCCAATCCAGCTCCCTGCTGATGGGCCTGGAAAAGCAGCAGAGGATGGCCCAATTGGCTTGGGCCCCTGGCCCCACATGGGAGACCAGAAAAAGCTCCTGGATCGCCTGGCCTAATCCCAGCTGTTGCAGTAATCTGGGGAGTTAACCAGTAGAAGGAAACCTGCTAGTCTGCTCTCACTCATTCACTCTCTCCTCCTTTAACTCCACCTTTCAAATAAATAAAAGACCCTTAAATTGGTCACTGCCCAGGAATAGTCCCACCCCCTTCAAAGCCCACTGCAATTTACAAGCTGCTTGTTACTTTCTGTTCATTAGAGCTATTCACACATTTCTTTCTTTTCTTTAGCAGAGCCAGGTATTACTGATAATGTAACAGTAACAGCATTAAGCTAAGCCAGATCTTAATTTTCTACACCAAGAACCTCAGCCTGTTTGCCCTTTAGATTCTTTGTTTCAAATCACTTGTAATTCTGAAGGACCACTTAAAACTTCATGGTGTACTTCTTTCCTATCACTCCTATATATATAAAACATGGAAAACAATTGAAATTATAAAGGTTGTACTTCCTCAACTTCCTTAAATTCTAAGCACTTCCCAGTCACTAAAAATTCTCTGAAAGCATGTTAACTCTGTGACTCACTGTGCCAAAAGCTTGAGATTTTAATTGCAGTGTGAATCTACTAAAAAGCCTCAGGCCACAATAACAAAACTCATCAGGAAGAATACGTGGCACTTCCCACCAGCATCATTAATTTAAAATTCCCTTGCATCATCTTTCCGTATGTGTACTAACAATCAAATTATGTTTCAAAAAACAGAACTTACCTCCATCACCAGCTGGTGAGCTCTAGACACCAACGTCAGGCCATTGGCATGATTGAATGTCTCAGAAATATCTTGCCCAAAGGTGTAACCAGCTCCTCGAGGAGAAATACCCCAACCACCACGGTCATCTGGATCTGACCACAGCAAGTCACACATTGGACCCTGGGAAACAGGTTTGAGTTATACATAAATGCTTAACAACTGATTTGACTACTTTATCAGAAGCCACACCCTAGTAGGTTACTCTTTTCTGAGTGGTTTTACTAAAAATGGCGAAAGATTTTAGTTACTGTTTATGTCGAATAAGACATTTTTCAGAAGTCCTTATGAAGCACAATTGACATGGAAGCTTCCCAAAAATCAACCAACATGCCCTAACTAATGAATGCGCCTGTTATATGCAAACTTCAGTGTCAGGCAGCAAAGACTGTGATTAAAGCAGAGGCTGTGAAGACGGAAGAGCCAGGTCCTCCTAAGCTCAGTGTCACAGCTGCTGTGATCTTGGCAGGTTTCTTCACAAAACCCTCTTCTGAACAAATGGATTGATCCGAGTGCTCACAACTCAGAAAACTAAGAAGCTTTCTGAAAAGTTTATCAAACACAGCCATACCTCATGGGGAACTTCTTGTAAGCGGTCAAGTGCTCTGATGTGATCCAGTGTATCTATAGATGGTGAGAGGCCCCCGTGCAGACAGAAGATCTGAAAAAGAGTGGTTTCAAATGTTAATGTCACCTAAAACATTCTTCTGGATTAAGCTGCGGGCTGCAGCCCTGACTACTTGGCCCCACAGGTGTTTCTGTGCTCCATCTGAATAAGTTTCAACCTGCAGAGTCCATCTTTGCCCCAGGCCATTCTCAACTACTGAGTACACTCCCTTTCTTCCTGATAAACCATCTCAATTAACTCCTTCAAAAACAGCTTTTACAGGCAGGCAGGCTGAATAGCAGATTAACACAGCAACCGGGAAGCCTGCATGAGGGGGGGAGGGAGAGAGAGAAAGAGACAAAGAGAGAGAAAGAGAGAGAGACAGAGACTGATTGCGATCCAGCTTTCTGTTAACACACACCCTGGAAAGGAAACGGATGATGGCTCAAGTACTTGGATCCCTTCTACTCATGTGGGAGACCTGAATGGTATTTCCAGTTCATGGTTTTGGCCTGACACAGCCCCAGGTATTGTGGGCATTTAGATAGTGATACAGCAGATGGAAGATTTCTCTCTACTTAACACCTGGGGAAGATGGTCCAAGTAACTCTTCTGAGCTGGCTTCTGCTTCTAGCTTCGACCTGGCCCAGTCACTGCCACTGTGGCCATCTGAGGAACGACCCAGCCAATACAAGATATTTTCCTCTAACTCTGCCTTTCAAATAAATAAATCTTTACAAAAAAAAAAAAAAAGGTTTGAGACATATACCTGCCCATCCACCAAGGCAGTGAGAGGAAGATAGTCAAAAAGATCTGTAAAATATTTCCAAACATTTGCGTTTCCATATTTTCTTAAACATTCATCATAGAAACCATAAACCTGTGTGATCTGTCTGCTCTCATGATTTCCTCGAAGAATGGTGATGCGTTCACGGTAACGAACCTACAACAACAGAATGGAAACCATGAAACAGCTTTCAAACACCAAAGGAACATTCAGGAAACTTTCTGAAACCCAGTTTTAATCATTCCATTCCCCCAATAAGAGTCCCTCCTGTCTGTCTACACTCACTCCCTACTCCCATGCTCCTACCATCCAATGATTTATCTGAGACTGCCTTTTCTACAAACTCCATAAGAAACAGAATAATGCAAAAAAAAAAAAAAAAAAAAACAAAAAAACACACAAAAAAAACAAAAAAACAAAAACAAAAACACATAGCTTCTGCACTAAACACCACTCAGAATATGTTCAAGGCTTATCCGTGCTGCAGTATAGATCAGTGGTTTGTTCCTCTGTGCAGCTGCAGTCTTTCACAGTACCGTTATACGGCATATTCTGTATTCATGGGTAGGAGGCACTGTTGAGTAGCTTCTTTCCTTTCTTTAGGCTATTTTGAATTTTTGCCACGATCACCTGTGTACAGTTTTTGAAGACATACGCTTTCATTTCTCTTAGACAGATTTCCAGAATATAATTTGCTTATAGTAAGTTATGCTTCACCTGTTGACAATCATTCAAAGTGACTAGACCCTTTCACATTCTCACAAGCAATGAACCAGGATGCTAATCTCTCCACATACTCACAAATACTCGGTACCTGAGCCATGCAAAATGGTATCTCATTGTGACTTGAATTTGCATTTTCCTGTTGACTAATGACGTTGTGTTTTTGTTTTCATGTACTTACCAGTCATGTATCTGCTGGGGTGAAATCTATTCAAGTATTTGTCTTTTATAAAATATCTGTTGTATTAAGGATTTTTGGAAAAAAAAATCTCAAATACATATTTTTGTTCTTAGTAATATTTTCTGAACAAAAAACCTTACTTTTTTATGAGGTCTGGTTTTTCTTTTTTTTAAATTGATTTCCTTTTGTTAATATCTAAGAAATCTCTCAAGACCAGGAAGATTTTCTATGTTTTAACCTAGAAATCTTACAGCCATAATTCTCATATTCAGGTCTGTAATTCACTTTTATCCATCTGTCTCAGCACTACCGGCTGAAAGGACAATCCTTCCCCCACTCCTGTCTGCTCTAGCTGCTGTAACACCGCGCCATAACAGAGGAGCAGCTTAAGCAACAGAAACCTGGCGTCAGCACAGTTGGGTTTCTCTGCAGACCTCTGTGTCTGCTTTACAGAAGGGCATCGGCTCTATTTGTCTTCTCATTTTCTTCCCTGTGTCCTATCTCTTACAAGAACACCACTCATATGGGAGTAAGGTCCAGTCACATGACCCCATTTTACCTCAATCACCTCTGTAAAGGTCTCAGCTCCAACAGTCACATTCTGAGGTATTATGGGTTGGGAATTCAAAGTATGAATTCCGAGAGGACACAATTCAGCCTGTTACACCCACTTGCATCAATTCTTAAAAGGTGGCACATTCACTCTTCTCCTGGGATTCAGCCTGGGTCTACAGCACAGCTAGCTGCACACTGCTCTCACACAATCTTCCACCGCCCAGTCTCATGTCTTCATTTACAGAGGCAGAACACAATGGCCTCCAGAAATGTACCTAACATTTCCATGAGTTCAATACTAATTACCCATAATCAGCCCTTGCTGAAAGCACAACGCACTGCTTCTTTAATGTTAGAAAAGTCTATGGCAGACATTTTATCATTCTTTCTACTCTTTAATGAGACTGAATCCCAGAAAAAGAAAAAATTCCCCCTGAAGGGCAAGTCAGTTTCTTTTGGGAAAAGCTGAAACCGGCCACCCTCAGAGCTTATTTTCAGCTTTGCTTCATCTGCCTCCTGTCAACTGTGGACTTTGCAAAGCTGCATCTGATACTCAAATGATTTTGCAACTTCCCTTCTTCAATTACCATTTCCACTATCTACATTATGTCATGTTTAACAGCCACAAACTATTCTACCTCAATAAACCCTAATTTGTGGATATTTAGATGAGTACTTTCTTTTTCTGGTATTAAATACTACAATTTATTTACACAAAAATCTTTTCCTCTTCTATTTCTTCCTCAGCACCATTCTAATTACAGGATTTCTGTCAGAGGATATAAACATTCTAACATTTGATCCATTTGTACCTTTACAATATTTTGAAACTAACTAGGAAGGTAACAACTACCTTTCCATACCTGAATCTACTGAATACATTTCTATTTGGCTAGCCCTCTAAGACTGTTCAAACAATCTAAGGCATTATCTTCTCCCCACTTTTTCATTCTGTCCCAACCCTATGCTTGGAATGCAGAATCCTATAAACGTAAAACCTGAATAATTTGCATTTCTCAAGAGAATTTTGTTCTAAAATGTAACATTTAGTTAAGAGGAAAAAAATAATTACTAGGAAACAACAATCAAGAGAACTGTCTTACCCAGTTCAAAATAATCAAACATAAACTGAAATTACCTTAAGAGCTACAAGCAGTGTAACTGTTTCAACGGAGTAATATCCTCTGTCAACATAATCTCCCATAAACAAGTAATTTGTGTCTGGTGATTTGCCACCAATTCTAAACAGTTCCATGAGATCGTGAAATTGCCCATGCACATCTCCACAGACAGTAACTGGACATCGAACCTCTTGCACGTTGGATTCTTTTGTCAGGATTTCTTTAGCCTACAGACAAAACCATAAAACAATATTTAGTATGAAATGACATTAACAAAGATACACTGAATTATATTTAATGCAGCTTAAGAGGCAAACTTGGTTTAAGATGAAATTGTCAGAATTTATGATCCTATTAAAAATAAGACATCAGATGGCTAGACTATTCCTTTGCTATCTCATCTCCGAAACCTAGAAAAAAATGTTATCAGGATGCACAGCCCATTCCCATCAATAATAGGAATGTTCAAGCCTGTCAAATGGCCATCTGATTACATACCAGAGAGTCCACCAGGGGCTGCTGTAGCAGCGCAGCAGGTTAGGCTGCCGCCTGCAACACCAGCATTCTAAGATGCAGTGCCAGTTCAGGTCCCATCTGCTCTGCTTGCAATCCAGCTCCCTGCTACTGTGCCTGGGAGGCAGCAGAGGATGGCCTTGGCATAAGTGCTTGCGACCCTGCCACATACATGGGAGACCCAAGCTGAGTTTCAGGCTCCTAACACCAGCCATGTGGGGAACGAATCAATGGATGGAAGATCCCATATCACCTCTACCCTATGTTGCTCTGCCTTTCAAATGTATGAGTAAATATACCTTAAAAAAAAAAAGTTCACTTGATTTTAATAATTTTTTAATTTTTATAACACAATAAATTTTCTCTGTTCATATTTTGAAGCTTCTCTATACTACTTATACACTATCAAAACACACAGATTCTTTTTTTTTTTAAATTATTTGACAGGTAGAGTTACAGTGAGTGAGAGGAAGAGACAGCGAGAAAGGTCTTCCTTCCATTGGTTCACTCCCCTAATGGCCACTACGGCTGGAGCTGCGCCAATCCAAAGCCAAGAGCCAGGTGCTTCCTCCTGGTCTCCCATGTGGGTGCAGGGGCCCAAGCACTTGGGCCATCTTCTGCTGCTTTCTCAGGCCACGGTAGAGAGCTGGACTGGAAGAGGAGCAGCCGGGACTAGATCTGGCGCCCATATGGGATGCCAGCGCCGCAGGCAGAGGATTAACCTACCGCAGCTCTGGCCCTAAAACACAGATTCTTTGTTATTTATTTGGATGATTCAAAATATTTTTGTTTCTTTGAATAATCACTTGCCTAACACCTGTGTCAGCCACTATGTGCTAGATCCTGTGTTGACCCCCAGAGATTAAGTAGTGAACATGATAGGTCTTTCCCAGCGCCATGGAGGGGAGAAAGACCACAGCCAGGTAACAATACAGTATAGACTGTTAAGTGTTGTGAAGAAAAGCCAGAGGTGAACCAGAGGAGACACCACAACGGATTGCCATACAAATCAAAGGATGACAAGGACTGGGGTGAAGGCCGTGGCATGTAATCTTAGCACACTGAAAACAAGTTATAATCTGAGAGCAGGATCCAAACTTCAATATTTTTTAAAGTTTTCCTAGGTTGCAACCAAGTTTAAGAACCTGTGCTCAAATCTTTAAACATTTTGTAGAATCTATTTCACAATACTCACCAATCACCAAAATCCCCAAAATATTTGATCTAACATTTTACAAAGTATAGAAAAAAATTTCCACTGTGCATTTAAAGAGATATATATCTTAAATGTATAACCCATTCAGTGTACTTCATTTCCAAATTCTTTTCTCTATAGGATAATCCCAATCTCTCCTGACTGGTTATTGCTAAAAGGAGACATTCACAAGGCACATTTCATTATTGACTATCTGGTATTAACACCATGTCTAGTGTTTTAGGCAGCTGGTACATACTAATGAGAACAGCTGTGAATGAAATCATAGATGCTACTTCATTTTAAAAGGACAATGACATAATAAAATACATGGTGACACATCATGTAAAATTTTGCTCCGATGTCATCTTCACATTTAATTCTACCAGAAGTTTACATTCAGAACACATCTCTGGTCACCTGCTTACTTGCAAGACTACTCTGTATGAAAGATGAAGAGTTCCTAACCAATACCTACTCAAAATTTCTTTTTACACCAGGAAGGAAAAGTTAAGCCTACATGCTATTGCTTTATTTCAATTTAGGCAAATCTCAGGGACAAACACTACATTCTTACAACTTTACAACTTACACAGTGCCTCATCTTCGTTTTTGGCACAGATAAAACTAAGCATCTCCTTTAAACTCTTCCAAAATTCACTGCCCTTGGGCAAAGTAACCACCGATAGGATTTTGATGTACATCCTTTTAAAACCTTATTTACGAATCTTATATACATATTTCATGACTACAAAAACAAAGCTTATTTTGAGTACCAAAACTAGAACCAGGGGCCAGAATTGAGGCATAGCGGGTTAAGCCACAGCCTGTGATGCGAGCATCCCACAGGGGGGGCCAGTTCCAAGCCCCAGCTGCTCCATTTCCGATCCAGCTCCCTGCTAATGGCCTGAGAAAGCAGCTTAAGATGGCCCAAGTGCTTGGGACCCTAAGCTCACATGGGAGATCCAGAAGAAGCTCACAAACAGTTTTTTTTTTTTTTTTTTAAACAGGCAGAGTGGACAGAGAGAGAGACAGAGACAGAGAAAGGTCTTCCTTTTTCTGTTGGTTCACCCCCCAATGGCCGTTGCAGCCAGCAAGCTGCTGCTGGCGCACTGCGCTGAACTGAAGCCAGGAACCAGGTGCTTCTGCTGGTCTCCCATGTGGGTGCAGGGCCCAAGTACTTGGGCCATCCTCCACTGCCTTCCAGGGCCACAGCAGAGAGCTGGACTGGAAAAGGAGCAACTGGGACAGAATCCGGCACCCCAATCGGGACTAGAACCTGGGGTGCCGGCACCGCAGGCAGAGGATTAACCATTTGAGCCGTGGCACCGGCCAAATAAAGTTTTTTTTGACAGGCAGAGTGGACAGTGAGAGAGAGAGACAGAGAGAAAGGTCTTCCTTTTGCCGTTGGTTCACCCTCCAATGGCTGCCGCGCTGTGCCGCGCTGATCCGATGGCAGGAGCCAGGTACTTATCCTGGTCTCCCATGGGGTGTAGGGCCCAAGCACTTGGGCCATCCTCCACTGCACTCCCTGGCCACAGCAGAGAGCTGGCCTGGAAGAGGGGCAACCGGGACAGAATCCGGCACCCCAACCGGGACTAGAACCCGGTGTGCTGGCGCCACAAGGCGGAGGATTAGCCTAGTGAGCCGTGGCGCCGGCCACAAATAAAGTTTTAAATATGATTTGCCTTTTTGGTCTCAATTTACCAGCTTAAAGTAATTATTGCACTAAAACATACTATCCCATTATGCCAGAACAATAAAGGCTGCAGATGTCCATATTAAAGATTATTTTACAAGGCCAACATTGTGGTTCAGTGTATTAAGCTACTACATATGACAGTTGCTCCATTTCTGGATCCAGTTCCCTGTTAATGCCTTCCCTAGGAAGGCAGCTGAAGATGGTCCAAGTGCATGAGCCCCTGCCACCCACAAAGGAGACCCAGATGGCACTCCAGGGTCCTGGTTTCAGCCTGGCCCAGTTGGGATGATGTGGCCATTAGAGAGTGAACCAGCACATGAAGATTTCTGTCTCTCCATCTCTCTGTAACTGTACCTTTCAGCTAAAAAAATATTTTACAATCATGGAAACTATGCAGAAGGAAGGAGGTCTGAAACAAGCTGTGCTAGGGCACGCACTGTGGCACAACAGGTTAAGCCACCACCTTAGATACTAGCATCGCATATGGCAGCAATTAAAGTTCTGGTTGCTCTACTTTTTTTTTTTTTTTTTAAGATTTCATTTATTTATTTGAGAAGTAAAATTACCGAGAGGGAGAAACAGAGTGAAAGGTCTTCCATCTGCTGGCTCACTCCCCAAATGGCTGCAATGGCTAGAGCTTGGCCAATTCCAACCCAGGAGCTTCTCCTGGATCTTCCACACAGGTGCAGAGACCCAAGCACTTGGGTCATCTACTGCTTTCCCAGGTCACAGCAGAGAACTAGATTAGAAGAGGAGTAGCCGAACTCATATGGGATTCTGACAATGCCACAGGTGGAAGCTTAGTCCACTTTGCCACAGTGCCGGCCCTTGCTCTACTTCTGATCCAGCTCCATGCTAATGCACCTGGGAAAGCTGTAGAAGATGACCCAAGTGCTTGGGCCCCTACATCCACAGGGCAGAACCGGACGGAGTTATTAGCTCCTGGCTCTGGCTTGGCCCAGAGCCAAGTACTGAGGCTATTTCAGAAGCAAAGCAGTAGGTGGAAAATATATCCATGCATCTCTGAGTCTGTGTGTCTTTCAAACAAATAAATCTTTAAAAAAAATAAAGTAGCAGAATCAGATTTTCAAAGTACTTTCACATTTAATTTATTTGAAAGGCACAGTGAGAGAGTGAGAGAGAGTGAGAGAGAGTGAGAGAGAGTGAGAGAGAGAGAGAGAGAGAGAAAGAAAGAGCACAAAATTTCATCTGCTGTTTCACTCCCTAGTTGGCTACACTTGCCAGGGCTGTGGCCAGTTTGAAGCCAGGAGCTTCTTCTGAGTCTCTCACTTCAGTGCAGGCGCCCAAGAACTTGGATCATCTTCTGCTTTCCCAAGCTCATTAGCAGGGAGTTGGATAGGAATTGGAGCAGCTGGAACTCAAACTGGCACCCAAACATATTGTCAGCCTGCAGCTTTACCCACTAGGCCAAAACACCAGCCTCACTGACTCCTGTGATTTAAAGCCTCACGCTACCCAAATTATGCAAAGGCAGAAGCAAAACACACGTATCAAACTTGAAGCCATTCAATCTCTCAACTAATACAATTAACATCTGCACAAGAATTTAAACATTTAGAAAATACTGTAATTGGGGCAGATGCATGGTCCAGCCTGCATGCCACGACCGCCTGGTTTGACAGCAGATGGTGGCTCAAGTACTTTGGTCCCTGTACCTATGTGGGAGACTTGGATTGAGTTCCAGCCTCCTGGTTTCCGTTTGGTCCAGCCCTGGCAACTGGGGAGATTTAAGAAACAAACCAGTGGATGGAAGATCTCCAATTCTCCCTTTCAAATAAATAAGTAAATAAATAAAT